TATCATAACACTAAAGAAATTGTTTTAAATGCTTATCACAACCCCACAACACTTAATTCCCTTAAGTTCCCTTAAAAGGGTATTAAGACTTTTACTTGATTTTGAATTTTTTAGTTTAATAGACTAAAAATACCTAACTTATTAATACGCAGTAGTGTTGAGAGGGCACTTTTTGGAGTATGTATCAAACATATGCTTCAAAATGCAGTTATCACTTTATCACTTTGGCCCTGTTTCTTAATTTCATCACTCAGATCTTTTTTTAAGGAACAATCCATCTTTAGTATCAGTTTGATCCATGTGTGGTTATCACTTCCTAGGAGTAAACATCAGTGTTGATAACACATGCCTATCTCTGTGATTCTATCCTACACTGTTTCAACTATCTCCAATTGTTATTCTACCTGGGATACATAATTAAAACAAATATAGATTTATATGGTTATTTTGATTTCCCACACTCATTCATTCAAAAGTATTTATTTGGGTGTCTATTACACATAAGTTAAATTAAGTATGGTCTCAGCCTCATGGGTACAGTTTACAGTATAGTAAGAGAGGAAGACAAACAAAACAAAGCCAAAGTAAAACTGTGGTAATTGCTATAGAGTTTTAGAAAAATGTGTAATGTTAAGGTTTTGACCTATTCTAGAGGTTCAGAAAAGAGAAGTCTTCTTCAGATAAGAAGAAGCAGTCTCTTCAGAGAAGAGAAGCAATGACTAAAGTGTGTTGTGGTGGGGGAAGGGCACCCCTAATGGCTGCAAGGCACAAATAAAGGCTCTATGGCAAGTGCAAAATGAGGTTAAGAGAAGCAGATAAGGGCTAGATTATGCAAGACCTCATAAAGGATTTTGGTCTTTACCATAAGAGCAGTGAAAAGCTAATGCTGCATGCTAGTGAAGGGAAAGAAATAATCAGATAAGCCTCTTGAAAAATCATTCTAAATGTAGTATTAAAAACAGAACGGAAGTGAGAGTGGATGTGGAGAGACTATGTGAGGAATTTATTCCACCAGGCCAGGCAAGAGATAACAGTGGGTTAGACTACCTAGGTGCAACAAGAGACGGGTAGAAGTGAACAGTTACAAGACATTTAGGACATAAAACTAATAGGATTTGATGACAGACTGACTAGTCATGAAAAGTAAAGGAGGAGGAATTATTAAAGATGACATTTAGGTTTCTTATGGTTCTTAGGTTCTTAGGTTTCCCACTGGATGGGACATGAGAGAGGATACTAGACAAGAGTGTTTGTTTGCTTTTCCTGGGGTAGGGAGGATCACGAATTCCATATTTGGTCATATTTGACTTGAGGTGTCTTTGAGACATCCAGGTGAGGATATCATGCTCCAACTAGCTCTGGAGCTCAGAACAAAGGTCTAGATTAGAGATGAAAACATGGGAATCATCTGTGTATAGTCCTTCTCTGAGCCACCTCCTCCCCATTCTAAAGCTGTTAACCACAGTGCTTGACCCAATGCCTTGTCACACTGTAGGCACATTAATCATGTCATGTCCCTTATTAAACTGTAAGTTCCATGAAAGCAGTGACCACTTCTATTTTGATTCTTTTACATCAACTCCTCACATAGGGTGAGGGTATCCTGCACTTAACAGGGTATCAAAAAACAATATTTGAATGAGATAATGAGCAATGTAACACATACTTTGGTCAATAATGACACAAAACTACAGAAAAAATAACCGTAAAAGTTAATTTTCAGCATAATTTGAAAAGCTCATATAATTTTAAATATAAGGGAAGGTGATGTAGGTAACATATTTTATATATTATTTATTTAGTATGTGTTATATATAGTTTTATTTAAATCATCTTATATATTTATATATGTATATCCCCCCCTCAGGGAAAAGTAATACAATTTTCTAGATATTTATCAGTTACACAACTCAAGCATAAACTAAACTGAAATATACAGTTTGATATACAACAAAAATGCAATTATCTTTGTTAAAAAAAACCAACCTGGTTTAGAACTTCCTGTACCTTTAAAAATGCCCAACAGAAAATAAACTTTTACTGTTAAAAGGAATATACACAGTTTTTTTTATTTTTTTAAATTTTTTTTCAACGTTTATTTTATTTTTGGGACAGAGAGAGACAGAGCATGAACGGGGGAGAGGCAGAGAGAGAGGGAGACACAGAATCGGAAACAGGCTCCAGGCTCTGAGCCATCAGCCCAGAGCCCGACGCGGGGCTCGAACTCACGGACCGCGAGATCGTGACCTGGCTGAAGTCGGACGCTTAACCGACTGCGCCACCCAGGTGCCCCAGGAATATACACAGTTTTAACAACACTTAATGTACACCATATCCCACAGATCTCAGTATTTTATTTATTCATTGGTACTAACCCAAGAGATATCATTTTTGAATCTCCATTTTACTGACAAGAAATCTGAAGCCTTGAAAGTTTTTGAGAGTTACCAAAACCATTTTAAGTAATATTTGCTTTAAAAAAAAGACAAAACAACCTTTGGCAATATATATTTTAATCTCTATGAACAAAATAGCAAGCTAAGTGACATTTCCATTAAAATTAAATTGAATATTATGCATTTTACACATAACCGCCTATCTTTATTTTGCTTTAGTTGCTTTTTATCATGACCTCCCATTGAGAAAGGATCTAGCAAGAAACACTACACTTAATGAAAAGGGCCAAAAGGACTAAGATCCCACTGAAATACTTTAAAAAAAAAAAGTTCCTGATAGTTATTTCATTGCTACTTCATTTGGTTTTGTGAATATGAAAAGCATTTTCATAATAATTTCATGATAATTTTAACAAAAGATACATTTGGGGGCATACCATTCACTTCTAATTTTGGAGATAGAACATAATTCATCTTAAACCTCACTGTAGTCAACACTATATATATGCATTTCTAAATCCTCTTTGCTTTTCATCTTCTAAGAAATATTTTAACATTTATATATTAAACCTGAAGAATGTTATTACATTGCTCAAAGTATATGTACTTTTGTATATAACCATGGTCTGGGAATTTTAAGTAAATATATTGAAGACTACAAAATACAGTGCAATAATGAGAAACACTAGCGAATAGTATCAATGCTTTGTAAATTACATTAAAGAGAAAATATACTAAAATGAAAAAGGAAAAACTGATAAAAAATATTTTGGGTGAGGTTGTGGTTAGCCATTTATTACTTTTTTGTATGAGAGTTAATTAATATTCTAAAAAGGTCTACAAAAAGCTGAACAACCTCTCAAGCTCTGAATTCATGGCACTGACCTTAGGACTTTCTCAGAATGATTTTTAATGCACTCTGTTATTAGTAAAACCTGTTCAAACACATGCCCCATCTGCCAGCACCCCATCTGCAAGAGAGCTTCTTATTCTTGTAGACAGTACAACTTCTGCTTGCTTCCTTGTCTTCTCTACATACCAGCTGTATGGTAATGAGTATGAGCAGCTGAAAATACCGCATGATAACAAAGCTAACATGAAAACAGCAGAACAACACTTCCCCCCAATGAAGCAGTTGCAGCATGAACACAGCAGATAAGCTACTCAACAGAGGTGGGGTGCGTGAGAATTTCATTTGCGTGTATGGGGGGCCCGGGAGTGCTTGTAGGTGTGTGTGCGTGTGCCACATCCGCATGTATGTATACGTGTTAAATATGGGGTTTCCACGTAATTAAAAAATAAAGAGAACCAAGAGCAGCACAGGGTACCAAAGACAGATCTAAATCTCTAAGCACTTTTGTTAAGACCTGCGAATCAAGTCCTTAAATATTTTCAGTCTCAATTCTTATACAGTAACGATATACCAGGGGCCATTTTGATAAGCTCGTTTTCAAATATGTTAGCAAGTATGTTCCATTTCTTAATTAACTTATTTTGAGGCCTCTAGGGAAAGAAATGGAGTCAGAGCTTAAAATCATAATGGGAACTATTTACTAGACATTTTAGCAGCTAACATAATATGTGAATCAACACACTCTTTTCAATTCTTATACAGCGATTTAAATTGTTTCAATTTAATGGTATTGAAGCCAACACATTTATTCTAAACATCTGAGAAACTCCAAACAAAATACTAAGATAGCACAGGTTACCTTAATTTAGGAAGACATAATGGGGTTAATTTTTACATAGATGATAGTCACAGTGAATGAATCTACATAATGTAAGTAGAACAAATCACATTAATTTTTCACATGCAGTAGCTTTCCATTTAGAGATTAACAGTCATTCAGGAAATTATTTAAGAAAATGACCATTTAAAATTGGTGCTAAGCATTTTCTTTCACAATTTGAACAAACTAAAAATGAAAAAATATTCAAAACACTAACTGTAAGTAAAAGAAATAAGTACTATCATATAAGGAGATTTAATTATAACTTTTACCAATACACTGAAAAAGCCTTATGCGGACTTCGTAATAGTTATTAAGTTCTTATTACATAACCATACTTTCTATAGGTTATTTCATTTTATTCTTACGACAACCCTATGAAAGTAAGTACTTCTACTATCTCCATTTTACAGATGAGGCTTAGTAAGTGGTGAAGCTAAGAATGCAATCCCAAGTCTAACTGACTCCATCATCTATGCTGTTAAGCACTCGGCTATTCTGATATAAACTCCATAAGGATGAGGATTTGAGTCTGTTTCATTCACTGTTGTACTCCAAACGCCTAAAGCAGTCCTTGACTCATAGCAATTATTGAATGAATAAATGGAAGAGAAAAGTGGTCAGTTGTTTTTAAGTGTAAATCAATTTAAGTGGGAAAAAAACTATCAATTTTGTAATAACCCGAATCGTTTTGATACTGAAAAAAAAATACTTCTTAAAGAAACTTAAAATAAGACTGTTTAGTAACCTAAATTGTGTTCACTTGTTAGATTCAAAAATTAAGACTTTATTTAAAAGATTCTCATAGTTAAACACTCATGTCTGAAAAGGCTGGTACAGGATGAATAACAGCAAAATCGCACTGATTTTGGTCCTCACTTCAGCAGCACACACACTAAAATTGCCACGACACAGAGAAGATTAGCACGACCCCTGCACAAGGATGACACACAAATTCCTGAAGCTTCCATATTTAAAAAAACAAAAAGAGCAAAATTGCACTGATTTTACTATTTTTGCATATTTTTGTAAATCCACTTTACCTGTCTTCATTTTACTCTATAACTATAAAAATGTTCTTTTCCTGTTAGCTTAACATATTCCTTGACTTCAAATATAACAAGGCCATGAGCTTCCCTAACATAAAAGATTAGTACACTATGCATCAGAACCTGAATTGAAAGAATAGTTCCAACTTAATAAAATACTCCCCAATCATCCCTTAAAAAATAAGACATACAACTGCATTTTCTCAAAGAAGAACGAACTTTTAACACCACTTAACCAATTCAAAAATCCCACAAATTCACACAAGATTTACAAAAACAGTACTATACTGCCCCTACATGTTCAAACTAGTAGTAACAAGGACATTTTAAAATCCAAAGTGATAATGCAGAGATTTTTGTGGAATACTGAAAAGCTGTTTAAGCTTAAATTGTGCCCAAGTGAACTATACGTAATCACCCACACATAAAAATGTAATTAAATATAGGAATAACCTACAAGTTTTGATTTACATTTTCAATACTAGCAAGGAGAAAAAAATTAAGAGAATTTCACCCAAAATTGTATTTTTTCTCTCAAATATAAGATACATGAAAATATAAAATAATCAGAAACAAATAACTAGCTCTGTGTTTTTGGAGTCAGTATTAATGTATTAATGTTTGAGAAATACTTATTCTTAATTGTTCTTCCTCTAGCCCTAACTAAATGTCAATAAAGTTTATAAATATATAAACATTTATATATAGAGATACTACCAAAGTCACAAGAGAAACCTAGTATCAGATTCACTTTAAAAAAAAAAAAAAAAACCTATCTTACTTTTCACAATTTAGGGATAAAACACTATATATGCAAATAAAGAGATGTGCGGCATCATGGAAATAACTGAACTGTAACTTCTAACATTTAGAATGTCATTGGCTTCACCATAAATGGTAGTCCTTTCTGCTCTTACTTTCTTTGGTGAAGTTTCTATAATATTAAAAAAAAATTAACTTATATCTATCATTTATATCTACCATAAATACATCTCCTATAAATTATATCTATCATTATATAATTGGTTTATATGTGAGACACACATTAATTTATGCAACTTTCCACAAGTCAGATAGGGCCAAGAACTCTAATTCTGATGCAGGAACAATCCAGAAAGAAATCACTAGGTGAGCTTGATAAGATATTAAAATTTCCTTCCAAGAATATGAAAAAATGGAAGAAAATGGAATCGTATTTAATCTTTCAGGACCTCAAAATACTATTTTGTGCTAGATACTATCTAACAGTATTTGAAAACCAGTAGATTATACATTTCAATAAAATTACCAACATAATCCTATCAAGTCAGAGAAAGACTGTGTCTGTATATGAATGCACATGTATGTAGTATCTATACAAACAAATGGAGAAACTATAAGACAAATTACCCTGAGTTGATTTAGAAAAGAAAAGCGTACAATTGAATAAAGGAGTCTGGTGACACACTATATACTGGAGCACACCAAACACGCTGTCCCCACCCAGGCAGAATTCTCAGGGTCACCAAAACGTTAAATTCTATAAAAGGTAGGACTTTTTCTGCTTTGTTCGCTAATGTATCTAAAGTGCCTAGAATTGTGCCTCGCAATTAATAGATGTTTATTTGTTGTATAAGCTAATTAACCTCTGATTTTGATATGTGACCATAAAGTGGGGACAATGAGATAAGTCTCTGAGACAGAACAGCATCTGTAGCCTCCTTAAAGGAAGGCCTCTGCCTTACTCATCTTTGTTACACTAGCAACACACACAGAAAGTATGCCTAATATGTATTAGCAGAATAAAAATTAATTTAGTGCTATTAATTTTATGTAGAAATACTAGAAGAAGTAAAACAGTGGTAGAGGTTCTCATTCCTCATTTAATGTATAAGTCGGATAACAGGAGTCGCATTTAATCCCTAAAGAAAAATAATATATAAGCTCTGAATTATCATTACATATTATATGGAGCTGCCTATAACTAGGTTAGTAAAATTAGGTATCCATTTATATAAGGTATGTTTTACAGTACTTAAATATGCATGTGCCCAGAGACTTAAGACAAGGCTTTGACTACTTTGACATTTCAAAGTGTATTCCATTTTTTGTAGGTGGGTGACAGCTGTAAAACTCAAAGGTCTGTGGAGTCCCACAATTTTGCAGAAAGCTCTATTGCTGACTTCAGAACTTTTTGGAGTTTAGAAAAGTAATACAGTGCATATGTATTACTGAACACTTCCAGTACTTTATACATTAATATTTTTGCAACAAAGTATAGGACCATTCAGATAAATAATAAAACGGTCTTATGTCAGTTACAGTTAGGGTTGGCTAACTTTAAAAAAGTTCTTAGTTCTCAGGACTTGCTGGATTTCTGGTCTGCAGACAAGGGACAGTAGATTTATTTCATATGTGTTTACATTACCAGAACTTAGTACCAAGTTTATTTTTTAGCATATTTTTCATCTGTCTCCCATACTAAACTTAATAGCCTTGCCCTGTGCTGTTAAAATTACTGAACTACTTAAACAGATTGTTATCTATCAACAAAAGGGAGAAAAATTCATGGCAGTTACTTCTACAATATAGTTGTAGACCTCTAAAACACATTATAATTTGTTTTACATTCATATTTGACAACTGAGACACAGCCTAATACCAAGACATCACTTGATGACAAAAACCATCTAGAAAGCAATGTTATCAGAGTTAGATATTGAAGCCATCATAAATTGTGGGAACAAAGCTAAGAATTACATATTTAAAAACCCAGCATTACATAGCAAAAGTTAATCCTTAAAACATTTGGCAACTAAGTATGGATCTGTTCACTCAACAAACCCTACAACGGTCAGTATACCATAGTGTTTGTGATATGACAGCCAGATGCCTGAGTTAGGATCTCAGCTCCGTCGCTTATCACCTCAAGGGCAAGTTATTTACCTTTCCTGTGCCTCCTCAGATTCCTCATCTGTAAAACAGGGATCCTATAACACACCACCTCTTTCACAAGGTTATTTTAAGGATTATATGAGTTCCTATATGGAAAGTATAGTGCCTCCTCTGCATCCCAAGTTAGACTATATACTATTACCTGATTTTACTGTCATCGAAACACTGGCATTAACAACTACTTTTCTGTTTCCCTAAAGTAGACTCTAAGCACCATGAGGGCATGGTCCCTGTCCATCTAGTTCACTGCTATATCCACGGGTTCTAGAAAAATTTCCAACCCTGTTCTAAGTATTTCATACATATTTTTGGCTGATATTAATACTAATAAATGTCATGTCAAGGGGGAAGTGAATTTGCAGAAGTATAAATAATGTGAAACACCAAGATGTGAGCCCAAGCAATAATATAGGTTCCTTCTGTCCATCACTTCTCTGATCATCTGCTTAGCAAACATACTTCATGTTTTGATTCAAAGTTACTGTGAAGCCTTTCTTGAGCCATGTGCTTTGAGACTTCGGTGACCCTCTCGTGCTCCCACAGTATTTTGTACATGGGTCCATTTAAGCAATTATCTTTTTATACAATAAAGATTTGTTTATGGTTTTTACCACTTGACTATCTAAGATGCTTAAAGGATTGTGATTTTTCACCTTGGTATATCCATCCACAGGTACCGGGGATGAAGAATCATCACCTTTTTATTTATAGCCAGTACCTTGCACAGTACATAGAATAAGACCACAAGAAAATTTATAATTTATATATATTCTGTTTATTTATGTTTATGCATGACCCATGAAACATTCCTAAGAAGAAAAAGTCTGACATGATCTAAAATAGAATGGTCTGATATGTGGTAACTAATTCCTTTATTGATAAAATAGTGATAATAAAAACTACCAGATCATTTGAAAATGTCAACTCTTCCCCACTTCCAATGGAATATATGTGTAAGGAAAATAACCCTAGGAAGTAACATTTTACTAGTTTACTCAAAAAATAATAATAATAAGGTACCCTATTAAAATATCTCTCCAGACTTGCTCATATCACCACCCTGTTCTTCCTCCTGTCCAAAGTACTTTAATATTTTTTCTTTATTTCAGCATTTTCTGACATTTTTGGGCTACTGTAGACTCTTGAAAGTAGCCATTTAAATGACTTTACCCTATGTTTGTTTCTCCTTCATTTTCAAAATTGGTAAGTAGTAATTACTTTTAAAATTAAGTGTCAAACTGTATCTGAGTTTATTTAAATTTAGAAAATGAAATAGTCAAAATCACAGCTGCAAAGTCATTGAAAAACATTTAGTAAACAAAAACATGTCATATTCGTAACAGTACAAAAACTACTTCAGAATCTTCCAAGTTTAACACACACTTCAACGAATTAGTCATAGGAATATTTATACTAACTTTCTTCTGCGTATCACTAGGAGCATAAAAAGACAGACATTAAAGATAATTTCTGAACTCTAAGAGTTTATAACCTAATTGAGGAGACAAGATAACTATATGAAGGTATCAAATAACATCACTGGGCAGTACATATATGCCTAAGGGCCAAAGGTAATGGCAACAATTACAATATGTTTCACTGGTGTATGAGGACAAAGGTAGATGCAATCAATGCCAGGAGAAAGGTTCCAACCAGACAGGGAAGCTAGACTGTGAGGTCATATAAAGGATCTAGAAAGACAGAGGCACAAATATAATTGGTGGACACCTGAATAGATCAATCTGGGAGAGAAGTGGAGGATGCTGGCTTTTTAAAGGTTTCATATTTCTGTATGTTAGGTAAACATCCATCTATTTCTAATTGCCTAAGAGTTCCATGAAACAGATATTGAGTTTCATGAGATGTCTTTCAGGCATCAAGGCATTTTAAAAGACCAGACTTGCTACAGCTACTTTCAATGAGAATTAATCATGGCTAGACTAGATTTAAAAAAAATAAAAAAAAAAATGTAAACCTGGATTGGGGCTAAAGGCA